CAATTGTGAAAACGTGGATACACTTGTCTGTAGGTACTGCTGGACTACACTAGGCCTCTAGGGTAGAGTCTAGTTCATGTGTACTTTATTATACCCAGTTTTTTGCTATTTTCATTTAATTAACATTTCTTTAGTGCACTAATAAATTAGAACCCAGCAGTATGTTTCATGAAGTTTCATGATACATAGTACCTAATAGGCATCTCATTAACAGCTTTTAAATGAATAAATGGCTATTTAAATTCTTGTGCATTCTTATTAGCAACTCTTGTATTAATACATTTAATATTTCAAAAATTCTAAAGATTTTACTCTAATTTCTAAAATTCTAAATTCTAAGAAATACTAAAGTTATGTCATGTAAATATGTTAGATGATTTAGCACAGTTGTGTAATTTTTGGTCAAGTGTAAGGTGTGGTTGTGAAATAACCAGATGAGGTTGTCTTTGTGCCTCCTAAACAGCTCTGAAGGCCTATATTTTAAATTGTTGCAGATGATACAAAGGACTATCAAATATCTTCCAAAGAGTGAACAGACTGGAACAAAAGCTTACCCTGAAATAATGTTATATGAGACGTCAATCACATCTCTAGCCATAAAACTATTTGTTTCATCAGTCTTCTTCAATGATCTAAATTTTCTTTTTTCCTGAACAGAGTAAGATAAGAGTTGCTTATTAGGTATTTCACAAAGAAAATTACAGAATTTTCTGAAATGTACAAAGAGACCAGTTAGGCCACTCTGTTTATATTAGTTCTTTCTGTTGCAATTGATAGATTGCTCAAGCAAAATGCTGTGTTGATTCATTTGATTGTTGATTTGTTGTATTTGTTGATTCATCTAACATTGATAACCTGGTGCTCAGGCTTTAATTTCTAATACTATTTAACATTTATAGATGAAAACAGACCTGCTTGGAGAAATGACTGATTACAGATTTAAAGCAGGGAAAATAATTTGAGTGTGGGACAACTTGAGGTTAGAAAGCAAAGAAAACAAAGATAAATGGTGTCATATCAAAAGGGCACAGGTACCATTTTGAAATATCCTTCAGGGACAAATTTGGTACAATATGAAGACCAAAAAAAAAAAAATAACGTTGGCTTTTGAATATTAGATAAACCCTCCACCCCCCCAAAAAGGAAGACAGATGAGCTCTTTTTTTTTTCTTTTTTGACAAAAAAGCAGTTAATAAATGAAAGGAATGATAGAATCAGGAAAAGTCATTATTTTACAGTTCCAAATGAAATATTCGAAGCAAAGATGATCAGTGGATGCTATACCCATTGTGAAACATCATTGGAAAGTAGGATAGCCACATGATACCACATTTTAGCCTCCAGTTAACTTACAGGCGTAAGGGGGATGTGTATCTTTACAATAGAAAGATATGACAGTCTTAATCATGATCATAACCAAATAATTGAGCTTTCCATTAATTAGGTATTGGAACAGCTCCACATTTTGTGTCTTTTGATGTGATGAAATATGAATTTCACAGTATGATGTATTTTTGCCAAAACTATTTAACTTGACTTTGGTTCATAGGAGATACAAGAGGTGGAAAAATGTCTATAAGAAAATACACAAATGTACAATATGGGTCATGTATAAGACAACCAGCCTGTATTCTACAAAAAGTTAATGAATTTTTAGATTAAAAGTTATCTCTAAGTCAAAACAGACAAATGCGATGAACAAAACTTGATTAGCCTGTAGACTGGGTGAAAAATACTGTGAAAGATATTAGTTGAGCAATTATGGAAAGTTGAATATGGAATGAATAGTAGAGACTATTCTGCTGATGCACTATTAGTATTTTCGGTATGTAGGAAAATGTCCTTATTTTTGGGAGATGCATATTGAGTTACTTAGCACTAAAGTGCAACTTATTTTCCAATAGCTCAGCAAAATAAATTTAAAAATAATGATATGCATACAAAAACATATATGGTGCTATAAAAGTATATGGTGCTATAATTGTTGCATAGATGTGGATGTCCATTATATTATTTCAGTTTTTCTTTTAGTTTGAAATTTTCTTAAAATAAACTGAAAAAGGGAAAAAAATAGGAGAAAAGCAAAGCTAAAGTCCTGGAGTGGCAGGCCCCAGATGTTTAGAGTGCCTGCTTCTGCACACAACTGAACACTGAGCCTTGCGCTGGGTATGAGCCTACTGCTTTGAGCCACATTATAGAGAAGTTTAAGGTAGAGCCTATCTTACTCAGTTGTGGTCTGTAATGTTGTGGGTCTTCAAAAACTGTTGACTGAAAACATGTATTAAAAGGGGTGAACAAGTTTGACGATTGCTCAGAAAAGTGACAGCATACTAGTGACTTTTCAAACTCAGGAAATATTTGAATTTAGTAGAATTGAACTAATTAAGGGACAAGTAAGCTTAACATTCGTTCCAGAAGAGGAAAGGCTGTTTTTAAATATTTTCTCCTGAACATGCAATAATGACTATATTACATACTGTTTTTACTTTCATTAATGCTGCTTGCATTTCTGGATTAATGATCAAAGCATGTTAGTAGAAGCCTGCTGCATTATTTCCTACACATGGGGAAAATTTGAATTTGGTGAGAAATCTTCAGAGCGTGGCCTTTGCAATTATGCTTTGTTCCTTGGTGAGCTATGAGTTGGGGCACTTAATTATGTAAAAAATATTGCAAGAGAGCAGTTGCATAATTCTCCAGAGAGTAATTATTGTCTGTCTTGGCAGAATGCAAGGCTTTTAATCTGTAAATAAGCAATTCTATATGGAAGTGCAACATGCAGAGTGATTCTTTGTTGTAAAGGTCTCTTATGAATTTTTTAAGGTGAAAGCAGTAGCTGTGTGTGCAGATTGCCTGCTGCCTTTGTGTTTCAAAGGGTTATGATGCTTCCCTTGTGGTTTTAACCCCTCCTGAAATATTTAAGCCTCTGAGAACGATTCCTGTAAAGGATAAAACTGTGTCTAAGTTAAGCCTATGAAGGTTTCTAAAGTAGAGGAAGTAAAGTGTACTTTCAGCAAACTAAAACCCCAAGAATAAAAACCCAAATGAGATATCAACAGTGCTTTAAAAAAGCAAAGATGCAACAATTCACTAAGATGTTCACTATTGGGGGTTAATTTTTTTTAATTGCAAAAACTATTTTGGTATGACTGCTATGTAATAAACCTCATCTATTTGAAGTTTATATTTATATATAATTTTTTTTCAAAAATATGCCATTGTAGCTAATATTTCTAGAAAGAATTAGTTCAGTTTTGGGATATGTGTGTATTTTGTTTAGGTGGATCTGAGTCTTTTAGATATTGAAAGTGAATTCTAACTTTTGGTTTTCAAGTTGTTAGTAGCATCTACCTCTCCTTCTTTCCCCGTTAGTGTGGATGAGCTGACCAGGCAGCTAAGATTTGGCTTTGCACTTGGACATCTGAGCCTCTCCCCTTTGCCTATTCAAGGACTTCATTTGGGCAACTGCTTCTCTTCTGTGGGACCAACTTTTCCCTCTATCAAGTTATTCCCATCAAGCTTGAAACATGTAATATTTTTCATTGTTTGAAAAAAAAAAAGCCCTTCCTTGACCACTATTTTCCTGTTTCCCATTACAGCCAAACTCGAGTCTATCCTATCTTCATTTCCTCTCCTTCAATTAACTCTGGACTTACTCTAAGCAACCCCACCCCCACCCCCACCCCCTGGTACCTTCTTCTGTCAAGATACCCAGGACCTTCACATTGCCAAATCCCATTGGCAGCATTTGATCTAAATTTTTTTTTTTTTTTTGGTACCAAGGATCCACCTCAAGACCTTGAGCTTGCCAGGCAGGTTCGGTGCCACTGAGCTACCTCCCCAGCCCCTTGATCTAAATTTTACTTGACCATCTGCAGCATCTGACAGTTTGTCACTCCCTCCACCTAGAAACTTGGCTTCAAGGAAACCATTTTTGGTTTACTTCTTCCTCACTGTTACTCTTTCCCAGGCTCCTTTGCAAGCTCTTCCTTTTTTCCTCCTCTCCTAAGATTTCCTGGTCCAGGTCCTCTCCTCTGCCCTTTTTAAAAGTCGTCTCAGATATTTGAATGCTTTTGAGACTCCCAGTGTTTTTGTTTGATGTTGACAACTATCACCTGTATTCCTGGATTATGTAGCTAGTTGCTGGTCCCCCATCTCATTGGTTGACTAATGGGCATCTCAGATTTAACACAGTCAGCCTGTAACACCTGGTCTTCCCACAGTTGCCTTTCACCTGGATGACTGCAAGAGCCTCCTATTTTTATTTTATATGCCTTGTTCTTGCCTTGACCTCCTTCAATGTGTATTCAACACAGCAGCCTGAGAAAACTCTTTAAAAACATTAGATTATGTCCTGGCCCAAAGTCTCCAGTGACTTCTCACATTGGTCGGAGTTAAAGCTCTTCAACCAAGTACTCATCATCAGACCCCATTACCTTTGGAGCTTACTTCCTGTCTTTCCCCCATCCTTTATGCTGCTCTGGCTTTTTCTCAGACATACTCAGATGCTGCTGTCTCGAGGCCTTGGTACAGAATGGTTTGGGCTGAGATACTGTGTTCCACAGCCTTGCGTGGCTTGCTCCCTTAGGACCTCAAATCTGTGCTGCACCATCTTACTCTTAGTTCTTTTCTAACCAGCCTGCTTAAGCTCCTCCTGTTTTAGTCTCACCAGTTCTCCTGATCCCTCCTCCTAGCTTTTTCTCTATTTCAGTTATCATCTTATGAGCATACACATTTTACTTTTTATGTTTGTTGTGTTTGTTCCTGCCTGTCTTGGTACTAGAATGTAAGTTTCATGAAGGCTGAAATTGTGTCTGCCTGTTCACAGCACTGTAGCCTATGCTGACAGAGTGGGCACTTGGTACCGCTGAGTGACTGAACAGCAACCTCAGAAGTGGATTGATTCTTTCTGATCATTTTTTATAGTAGTCAGTGTGACTGAAGATAAGTGGCATTCAAAACAATTCACCATATACTAATAGCTATTTTCTGTTCCTCAGTTTCTCTGTTTGAAGAACATACGGACATTTCTCACGGCCTGTTGTGAAACATTTGGAATGAGGAGAAGTGAACTCTTTGAAGCCTTTGACCTGTTTGATGTTCGTGACTTTGGGAAGGTAATTCCATTTTATTTTTCATATTATTTTTATTCACGAATGTTTGAAAAAATTGTTTTAAGTCTTACAGTAGGGTATATGCCGTAAATGGTCTATATATCTGCATGATGTAATTTAGTTTTATTTATAGGTGGCTTAGCAAACAAAAAACAACATGCAGAAAATGGTAAAAACAAGAAGCAATAACAACTTCACAGATGAACTTAGAATTACTTTCTGATTTAAAGCAGTATAAAGGTAATCTTCTATCCAGGGGTAATTTTTTCGGCTGCTTTTCTTCTTTCAAGGGTAAGATTACCATATCTATCTTTTAGATAGTTTATCTGCATTCAAGTGTGAGGATCAATATTCTTCCTCACCAGTTTTCTCTACATTTGGAAGGCATCTGATTTTTGGAAGGTAAGGATTCTCTGTTGCTCTTTGACACTTGGGAAGGTGACTTTGAGAAGACATAAATCACTGACATATTTGAGATTGCCTCCTTCCTTCCCTCCCCCCTTCCCTCCCTGTTTCCCTGTTTCCCTGTTTTCCTGTTTTCCTCTCTCCCTCTCTCCCTCTCTCCCTCTCTTTCTCTCTTTCTCTCTCCCTCTTTCCCTCTGTGCTGGGGATTGAAACCAGGGCCTTGTACATACTAGGCAAGTACTCTACCACTCAGCTACATCACCAACCACAGATATAGTTCCTGTTGCTTGGCTTTCATCAGATATTTGTTAGATTTTCATGATACTTTTTACATAGAAATTGTTTTAATACTTACTGTTACTACTTGTGTATACTAAATGAATGTATTTAGAAATATACTGGTGAAAGAAAATATTCTTTCAATACTTACATTTATTATGAAGTAATTGAGCATAATGTTCAACTCCTTGCAAGTAGGTAGCCATGAGAGTCAGGTGACCAAGGTGACATTACTTTAGTCCTTGTTTACATAATTGCACTATGAAATTAAGCACATAAGAAGGAAAAAAAAACCCACTAAATGACATTGAGAAGTTCACCTTTACCTTTAATTCAGGTGCTAGTACCTCACCAAAAGGCTGAGAAGGATATTTTGATTTCCAAGATGTAATATTTTGGATATGAAATAAAAACCAAGCAGTGAATTCATCTGGTTGACAATGGGAATAAATAGCTCAAACTTGAGACAGAAACATAAGATATTTGATGCTGAAAACCTCAAGGATGGAGAAACTATCCCTTGTAGGGAGATTAAAGGTCTGGATTCTCTATCATTTTGTGAACTGAAAAATCACCAGCCTTCTGTGTCACCAGCCTCACTGCCAGCTTGGATGGAAATGAGTGCCATATCATGGTTCCTAAGGTTCTGTTTATCTCTGTAACACTGTCATTTAACTGGCTTGATGTCCCAAATAAAAAGGATTGAGGATAAAATGCAATAGGCAGTATAAGGAACTGAAAGCCAGGCCCTTAGTAGGGAAATGGAAGCACACTTGTTTTGGCCATCAATGTAGCTGTGTAGAGAAAGAGAGCAAATGGAATCCCAGGTGAGGTGGCTGCTTCTGTAAACTTTTGGCCTTGAAAAATGCCAGGGGTATCTCTGTTTGTAGTTTTCTTTGATCTTTTCTCTAAGCCCATTAAAAAAAAATCTCCTTTGATTTTCACATCTTTTAGGGAAATGAAAAATGAGAATGATATGGAGAAATAAAAAAAGACTTGACTTTGTAAAGCTCATTAAGGAGCTATCCACTTTTCATTCAAGTTTGAAAGAAATGGTGCCTAGAAAGATTGGGAAATTATGTGCCTCAATTCATACAAAGAGTGAATCTAGAATTCATGTATATCCAGCATCTTTTTGCCTAGGAATATATTGTAGTAACAGTACCTGATACTTTCACAGCAGTTTTTCTGGTGCTTTCAGAGTAACTGATATTACTGACCTCTTGTGAAGACAGCAAGCATGTGTTCCCATTGTTCAGAGAAGGAAATTGAGATTCCAGAAGGTTAGATGGTGACTTTAAGACTCTTTGGAGCTTGGGTATTCTGACTTCTCTTATGTGCTGTCCTTCAATATTAATTCACATCAAACTCAAACAATATCAATAAAAATTAGAATATAAAGATTTTTATAGTTACATGGGGATGAGAAAGGAGATTAGTAACTTGAAGTTAAGAGTCAGTAGCGGTCTTGAGATTAAATATGATTCTCTTGCTTATGATTGCTGAATCCTGAGTAACAGATGGAGTCCTTGGCTGAGACTGTAGGGCCTTACCCCTGCTTCCCAGTGGGGGAATTGTGGGGGCCCTTTTAAGTATCCTTACTGTTCCCCTCTGGTTTTGGGCTTATACTTAAAAAATAATTTACTTTCTTTTTAAAAAGATGAATCATTTTCTGGCTTTCTGGTAGCAACAATGACTACAACTGTATTAGCTTCTTTGCTTAAGAAAATTTTTTTTAAGAAAATGTGTCTTCCCCCTCTATCAAATAATCTGAATAATATTCAAAATTACTGGTTAAATTACTTTTTGACCTTACAATAGTAACTATAAATTTATCTCAAACCCATCAAAAATGGTGTAATGATAACAGAATGTAATATAGTACCTCTCAAGTGTAAGGTGGTGTGTTTTCTTGATGCAAAGAGAATCATATCTTGCCACAAATAGTCAACTAGTGATAGGTCAGTTTTAAAGTTTTAAGCAGGACAAGCACTGTCAAAAGGATTCAGAATATCAGTTTAGGTTTACAGGTAAGAATATTATTGAGAGATATTGATTAATGTTTTGGTTAACATTGTTTCTGAGTTCTCTGAATTCTGGTGTGTTCCTTACTGGTAAGTGATCTTGGGCAGGTAATTTAACCTCTCTGAACCTCAATTTCTTCATCTATAAATTGAGCCCAGGTGAATATTAAATAAAATAATATTTGTAAAGTTCTTAACTGAGAGTTTAGGTCCAAGATTAGGACTCATAAATATTAGCTACTTATATTCTGTTATCATTACACCATTTTTGATGGGTTTGAGATTCATTGGTAAACAAAAGGGTTGAATTTTGAATTAAAGGCAAGAATTGATAATATTGGAGAGGTAAGATTGAGACAAAAAATTTCTAAATGTCATCTTTTCTCTACCCTTCTGTGGCTTTGCATCTCTGTTGAGAAACTACCCTTTTCCCTTTCTCAGTCATGCTGTGTGGATAATTAGGGCCTCCCATGCCTTTTGCCATAGTGATGGGTTTGGAGGTGGGGTGAGTTGCTCAGTTGGAAACAAAATGATGCGTTGAGCCATTTTCAGGGGCAGTTTTGATTCAGTCCCTTCTACTCTGTAAGTGTGTGGATGTGGGTCTGTGAGGCATAGAGGAACACTACAGTCTGGGTACCACCGTGTACAGTTTCAAGATGGACCCACTTCAGAGGGATCAGAGTGGAAGAGGAGCTTAGCGATATCATATGAAGCTAAAGTCACACTGTTCCTAAAGCTAAGTATGTAAGTCTGTGGGTTTTTTCCATGACATGATCGAGTGCATTCTTCTTTTCAATTCTTTAAGCCATATTTTGTTAGTTCTGTTAACAAAGAATGAGGGAATTCTAAGGGAATCACTCTTGTTTCATTAGTCAGTTGATTGTAGGTGTGTAGAGATGTTTTTTCTTTTATTCCCCAAATTCCATGCAACTTGGAGACTACTTGTTAGTTTTTAGTCTGCTGTCATATAATGAAGAGGAGATATGAAGACAGAGTTCTAGAACTGGTCTTGTTTTGTAGTATCTAAGTACTCATGTCAAAGTACAGCCCCAGCTTCATGGTAAATGTTTTCTTTTTCTTAACATGGACTGAAGGAATATCATAGGTCTTTAGGCTTGAATGATTCTCAGTCCTCAGGCATCTTTTATGTCTGTTTCTGCTTTACAGGGATGAAGAAAATAAGCTCTCTTGATTTGTCAGACTGTGGACTTGCCTCCTCCTGAGCCTCTCAGCTGTCTTTCTATATTTGGGCCAAATAGAATGATTTGAAAATTACTAAAACCACAGGATAAAAAGGAATTAAAAGACCCTCCAAGTCTTTCACTTTGAGTTGAATAAGGCCAAGAGGTAGTCATTGATTTGGATAAGTTGTTCTTCTAAGAAGTTAGAAAACCCTGCAGGATTCTCTGTGACCTCAGAGTTGTCACCTAACTAGCACAGGTAGAACAATGGGGCTGAGGAAATACCGAGGGCCATTCCTCCTTCCGTGGTTATCAGAGTGTGGTGGTTGGTTCATTGATGGTTGGTTCATTGATGGTTGGTGTGAGTGGGAATGCCCATCTGAATTGAGTTAGCATGATTCTGGGGCATGGCATAAAAGGAGAACTGGAGGGGAAGATTTTATGCTGATTGCTCTTGGAGAAGCTTTGGCTGTTCTCTTTGGCTTCTCCAAGGATGGCCCTCTGTGGTTGACTGCCTACTAGCATGGTGATCGTTGAAGACTGATGCTGTGTGGTTCCTGGAGCAGTTATAGTTCTCTGGTGCTGACATCCCCTTGTAGTTCCAGCACTTCTCAGCCCATGCTACCTAAATTTGTTTCCTTCAACTCCTGTAACATTTTAGTCTCTGTATTGAGCTGGGCTAGGCCCCATTTGCAGTAAATTTTATTCAGGAGCTCCTTGTATCCTTTCCTGCCAGTGATCTTGGGTTGGGTCTTCCTTGTTCAGCTCCTATAGTATATCAGCTTCTAGTCCTCAGAGCAGCACCTGAGATCTCTAGTCTCTTTCCTTTCAAAGACCTTGGAGTTTTCCTATAGTGAGCCAACTTCCAGCCTAGGGAAAAGAACCGTCAGGTGTCAACATCCCACAGCCCACAAAGGCCTCTTTTAATTTCCCCCCCGAGAAGTACACGGGCTTGTCTGTTATTTACAAAACTCAGGGAGAGCTCTGCCCTGATTTCTTCTTGAACAAAGAATGCTTGTTCCCAGGCCTGCTTTGGGTCAGTTTATGAGAGAAGGGAGATACACCTTCTTGCTGGCCTTCTCTAGTATATGTGTCTCGATAGCTGCTGACACAA